CCCCTAAAACAAACCCCTAAAACAAACCCCTAAACCTAATCCTAACCCTTACCTTAATGGAAATCGGCTTTCTGCCGTGGCGCCATTTTAAAGTGCCCTTCTGTTGCCGCGCTGTTGTCGCAGCGGTGATGACGCACGATGATGACGTCGCGGCTTTAGCGATGCGCTTATGTCTCCGCGGATAAGGGCTTCGCGGATTTGTGGTGGAACCAACAAAAATGTCCTGCAATAAGCAGCATTACCCCAATGCTTTGACCGATTATGTGCCATTAGGTCAGTATTGACTCTTGGCAAGTATATAGGCAAATGTTGTCTAAGACAAAGTGTCCCCAATCCAGTCTTTCAGATGTTTCAGTTGTATATCCATCACCATTAAAACTGAGTCCATCTACCTTGCTGCTGGTCATCTTTTTTTTTCTTCCATCTTTTCCAGCATTGTAGACTTTTGTCAGGAAAATATTTTGGAAATTAGATGGATGCTCAGAGAATAAAATTGAAATTTAGGATGTGTGCAGTCTGAATGGAGACTGGAAGTGATACTTGCTGTTGGAATTAAAAAAAAATGTTTGGAATAAAACAAGTATCACATTTCACATTTGATAATTTAGTTTAATGTCAGCATTAGAAAATGACATCTGATGCAATAATAGCCAGGAAATAGACTTTATAACTTTTAAGATTTCAGTAACTTCTCCCATTTCTAAGAACACAATAAAAGGATTGTGCTGGATCTGACCAAAGGCTTAAGTAGTTTGCTATGATGTTCAAGGTTCTGGACTAAAAAAAATGGAAGGCTGTGAGTTTAGTCCTTCCTTAGACATGAAAAATGATTAGATGATCGTGATCCATTCATTCACTCTCAATTCAATCCACCCGCTGGATTGTTCTTCTGTAGGCAAGAGGATGCAGTAGTTCTTTGTTTGTTGTCCCAAATTGTACAGATAAAGCAGAATACAAATCTAATAAATTTCCCTTCCTTCAGTGGCCAATTTGAAGAAAACTTTCCTAATTGTATCAGTAATTGATACTGAGAAATAACAATATTTGCCAAGCACAGCAATTTGTTGATCCTGAACCAAAGTTTCCTGCATTGTCTAGAATTAATATATTAAGCTAGGATGTAATATGGATTAATAATGTATGGTTTGGTATATGAAGGGATTCAGCCATTGTCTTAGCATTTTGTGTGAAGTAAGTTGTAATTGTCAGACTGCAGGAACTGACAATAACATTCCCAGCAATGGAGTTGCTTATGAATATTTTCCTTTATTGTTCTTCACTATAGACAGAATCTTGCCAGACTAAAGCAACTATTTGTGTAACTAATACTTTGGGAATAGCAGGGTGTGGCTGTTTTAATCCTCTTCCTGCCAACCAAATTTTCCAAGTCTGCTACCTTTTTGCCCTCTGGAAAGCAGCCTCTCCTTCCTGGGAATCCAAACTACTTATCATCAAATCAGTAGACATAAGATCTGCTTGGATATAAATTAATATAATTAGCTCTTAATATGCTGCGTGGACACATCAGATATACAATCTAATCAACCTTTAATATACAATACTGTAAATCTATCCCGTTTCTGATAGTGAAATACTCTCTGTAGTTTAAGTATTAGCATACCTCCTTCAAGGACCCTCAATTTAAATCAAGAGAAAATGGTATGAGGGGAGAAATAACTGGTCAGGAAAAAATAAAAGGAGAAACATGGTCAATAAGTTTAGAAGATAGCCAACCTTTCCTAAGCAAAGGCTTATACATTTTTCAGGAGGGATATCTGGAACCCTTAATATCACCTTCCCCTATTCAGAGACACTTACCAACTGCAAGACATGAGTGAAGGATATGGAATATCCATGTTTTCTTATTTCAATTTCTCACTATTCAGATTAATTGGATGATTTCTGGGAGTTTTCTGAACAATTTGGAGCCCTGGTTTGGAGCTAGTAGCAGAGCACTGAGCAAACCAGTATTATCAGGCACTTAGCAAAGGCAAGGACAAAACGTACGTAGATTGTAGAAATAGTTATCTGCTCAGTAAACTGCTGGAAGGTGCTAATTTTTTATTACTGAGAAAGAGTGCTACTGAAAACATATAGACACCCAACATGCTAGCAACAGATATAATATCACCATGTAACAATGTGGAAAGCCTGGGAAATGTGCCATGTGCTGTAAATCAGCAGATGAAGACTATCTAGCAAAATGTCTTGCATAGAATCCGAAAGAGGTGGAGAATCTGTATACAGAGAAACTACAAATACTTGTTTCTTGTAGAGCATCTCATTTTGAGGAGCAAATACAGTGAATATTGCATGCATTGGAATTGCGGAAAGCAAATGTGCCGACTTCAGTCTGATGGCATTAACTGTTCTCTTAACTATGATTGGGAAGCTGCAATTATTTAAAAGCAATTTCTTCAGCTGTGTTTCATGGAAGAGGGCAAAAAGATAGCAAAAATGCTTTTATATAATAATGCCATTTTCCAACTTTCCTTTACCTTGTATTTCTACATTTTTTCACATATTAGCTGTTCATAAAATACCTTTATTAAAGAGCTGAAGCTTTGTTTCAAATCGTAAGCTGGTCCCACTTCCAAATGTTGCTATTAACTATAAACATTTAATATTGATGCCAGAAAATTAAAATAGCTGTATGTATGGAGAGGCAAATAGAACCTATAAACTAAGATTTTAGTTGTATGAAACTATGATTTTATAGAGACTGTATCTGTAATATTCAGAAAGACAGCAAACTTATGAAGAAACTTTTTATTGTAGACCATGTTACATTGGAAAGAAGTACAAATAGAAACAAGTAAACACACCAGCTTATCATTAAATGTTCTATGTTCTATATGACCACCTCCTGCCATTCACCTCCCAACGACCAATAAGATCGCACAGGTTGGGCCTCCTCCGGGTGCCGTCGACCGGACAATGCCGGCTGGCGGCTCCCCGAGGGAGGGCCTTCTCTGTAGCTGCACCAGCCCTGTGGAACGATCTACCTGCAGAGATCCGGACCCTTACCGCTCTCCCGGCCTTCCGTAAAGCAACCAAGACCTGGCTGTTCCGGCAGGCCTGGGGCTGTTGGTTTATAATCAGCCCCCCCTTAATTGATGGGAGAAGG